GGAGCGGCGAAGACGTTTCGAACTCCTGAAACCGGCGGTGACAGATAAAAAAATAGAGAAGGAAACTTCCCCTGGATCCATCCCCTTCCACTCCGACTCCCTCCCCTCCACCGTGCGGTCGACCTCCACCCCGCCGCCGCCCTCCCCTATCCAAGCACGGCACCCACCACCACCCAGCGACACCGATGCCGCCCCTCCCCCTTCCGCCGCCGACGCGGACGCCCCGCCCCGCGCCCATCCCAACCGATGATGCGCCGCACCTCCGCCCCCAACGGATCCGGCAGAGGCATAGCCGCTCCACCTCCCAGATCACCTCAGGGGTCGCCGGAACCGGCGAGAATCCTTCATCGCCATTCATTCGCCGGAGAACCGCTCCGCGCGATGGCCCCCATGGGAGCCCCTCCTGGATCGACCCGCCCCGGCGATGCATCCCTCTCCTTGCCCCGCTTCTGACTCCACTTGCTACTCCCTATCTCTGCTCGGTGCCCAGCGCGGTCGGGTGTGATCCCCTCCATCCCCCGGACCCCTTCCTTCCTCTGTTCCAGTCGGTCCGCAACAGCTACGCCACCTGCACCAAACGCCGTTGCTCCTTCATCTCCTCCGACCTCGGGCACGCCTGCTGCCATCCTGACCAAAGCTGAGCGAGAGAAGTTCGACCTGACCACTTCAGTTCAACATTTCTTGCTTTTTGAGAAGAGTCTTTTGAGTACAGCTTCAATTCGATGTGTGTGTGCTCATGTGTGTTCGTATGTGTGTATGTGCTCGTAGCTCCCCCCAAAATGTAGTAGTTGTGTGATTGATACTATTTTTTTGCAGGCATTGATACTGTTTGTTCATATGTCCAAAAGGAATTAAACTTTTATAGAAGTTAAAATTGAAAAAATATGAGCAGTTCTATTTAAAGAAATGAGGTGTGGGAAATATGACGCAAAAGTGTAAAAAGCTGAAGAAAATACCCCCTTTCTCTTTGTAAATTCCTTCTGTGATAATGATTGATGGAAAAAGGAATGCCTTTCTTTGCCGACCATCTCATCATCATCATGGTTTACTCCATGCAAAAATCATTCTTTATACAAAATTCAGATTATCCTAATTATTAAATAATGAAATAAGGAAGATAAAAAATAAGAAGTTCAAATTTTAAAAATAGAGTTGAAAATCAATAAAAAATCATTATTTTTGTTACAAAATGAATAAATTGAGGCTACCAGGAAGTCCTCCAAATTTAGATAACTGAATTAGAGGTCTTTAGAGTTCAGAAGTTCAAAGAAAACTTGCACAAAAGTTCAAAAATCAAAGAAAGAGCATTACAGAAGTACTAAATATTGTTAAAAAGATAGGTAAGAAGGTGCATTTCTAAAAAAAGATGTACTGGAAAACTCTAAAGCTGTTAAAAATAAAACTAAAAAAGTCATTTTTTCAAGTTGTAAATAACAGATTTTCCCGTGTCTAGAAAAACTCTAGAAGTTCAAATAAAAATAACAAAGTAGTTCAATATTTATTAAAAAAATGATTCCTCCGTCCCATAATATAAGAGCATTTTTTACACTAGTGTAGTGTTAAAAAACCTAGAAGTTTAATTTGAAATAACCGAGAAGGTCAAAGAACCTAGAATTTGAAATTTAAACACCTAGAAAGTTGTTTACTTATTTAAAACCATATTTTTTTCTAAGAAGTTCAAAGTAAAAAAAAGAGAAGTACGAAGGTTAAAAATCTCAGATGTTTTCTCGTTACTAAAGAACAAAATGAAGTTCAAATTAAATAAAAAGGAAAAGCTAAAAAAATTAAAAAAAATGTTCTCACTTTTTTAAAACTAGATACAAAAATAAAATAGTGGTTCGATGTTTATTAAAGAAGTCTAGGATTTTACCTTCTTAAGAATCTCAGATATCTGCTGTTATTAAATAAACGACCATGAAGATGAAAAATTAGAGAATAGTCAAAATCATGTTTATTTAAAAATAAAAAATAAAATGTGAAGTACAAATTAAAATAATACAGAAGTTCAAAGTATATTAAAACCTAGGATTTAGAAGCTCAAAAAACAAAAAACAAAATAGAATGTCATTTTGGGCCCGGAATACTAAAGATTAAAACCAAGAACTTAAAATAAAAAAAATTGGATTTTCCCATATACTAGATATTAAAACCAAGAAGTCCAATTTTGAAAACTGATGTAGTTCAATGTATATAAAAAACTCAGGTTTTCATGTTACTAGAGAAGAAAACCAAGAAGTTCAATTGGACAAAGCAGAGTAGTTTGATTTTTATTGGAAAAAGACAGATTTTTCTAGTTACTAAAGAATAAAACGAATAAGTTCAATATTAAATAACAAAGAAGTTTGATGTTTCTAAAAAAACCTCCAATTTTCACATTTCTATTTTTTGCTAGAAGTTCAAGTGCTCAGCCCGAGAAAGTTCAAAAAATCTTGTGAGAGAGGTTGAACAAACATACGTGACAGAAGTTCAAGATGAAAACAGCGGGGAGTTCAACTACTACACGAAATGCGTTTCAGATAGGAATATAAGAATAGAAAACAAAAAGATTAAAAGGTTTGTTGCAAGAAGTTCATGTCCTTCTCCCGGTGAAGTTCAAGATCTCTAGTGCGAGACGTCCGACCTTCAATTACATGTAAAAAACAGGAAAAAAACGACGTTGTTTTTGTCATTTTTAAAACTGCTCTCAAACTATAAAAAATTGTAACGTCTGTCTACATGAAAAAGATGCTCCTATTCATAAGTTTTCCAACAGTATATTATATGCTATATTCCGATGAATGGTTTAAAAGTTTTATGTATACCACTAAAAACACATTTTTAATCATTCAAAAACTTATTTTTGAACCATCACGAGTATGAGAACTAGTCAACCCGAAAAAGTTGCGTGTTTTCAACAGCTTTCCATCGGTATATCATTTTCTCAATTTTGGTAAGTGGTTTGGGAGTTACAGGGAAAAACAGCACGTCAAAAACAGAGTGAAATTCGAACAGACATGACCGAGAAGTTCAGCTACTTCACGCAGTGCATTTCCATTCGCGATGAAGGCAGAAATCATGATCTCGTCATATTTCTAATTTACTTCAAAATGGCAGGAATATCATTTGTGTAAGTTCAAGTCCTCGATCGGAGAAAGTTAAAAAAATTATTGTGAGAGAGGTTTGTACAAAGGAATATCATTTGTGTAACACTGACGAATGGATGAGAAAATTGCAAACGAAAAAACGTCACAGAAGTTCAACTACTACACTGAATGAATTTCAGATGAAAAACATTTAAAATTTCCATGAGTATGAAAAAATGATCAACATGGGAAAGTTGCGTGTTTACAGCAGCTTTCCAATGGTATTTCACTTGCTCAATTCCGGCGAGTGGATGGAGAGCTAATAGGGTTGCTGTGATCGGTATAAATATTCTTATTCCAAAAAATGGTTAAAACAAAATGGTGCATGTTGTTCGAAACAAAATCTTAACCATATTAGAAAAAAGTTATGTCTTTTCAGCAGGTTTGCAAAGGTATATTATTTGTGCAACTCCGATGTATAGGTGGGGAATTATGAACAGAAAAATGTGACAGAAGTTCAAGGTAAAAACGGCGGGAAGTTCAACTACTACACGGAATGCCTTTCAGAAGAGAATAAAAGAATACAAAACTAAAATCCTAAAACGTTTGTTGCTAGAAGTTCACATGCTCCACCCTGCATGGTTCAAAAATTATATTTACGAGACGTCCGTCGTTCATTTACATGTTGTTTTAAAAGGAACACTGTTGTTTTGCCATGTTAAAAACTGTTCTCAAATGGCACCGCATTTGTAACACATGTCTACATGAAAAACTTGCTCCCATTCATAAGCTTTCCACCGGTATATTATGTGCCACATTTCGAGGAACGGTTTAAAATTTTCATGTATACCATTTAAAACATGTTTTTATGTATTCAAAAAATTCTTATCTGTTGAAAGAAGTTCATAGTGAAAGCAAAGGGAAGTTCAAGTACTGTAAGGAATCCATTTCAGTTGAGCATAAAAGTATACAAAAATAAAAGCTTAAACGGTTTGTTGAAAGAAGTTCAAGTGCTCTGTCTGGGAAAGTTCAAAAATTCTTGCGAGAGAGGTTCACCTTGTATTTCCATGTTCAAAAACACAAAAAGAATTTGTTTTTTTGCATTTTAAAATAAGTCTATCAATCCACAAAGAAGTTCAATTATTATTTGGGAGCAATTTGATTTCAAAAAGAAAATAAAAAAATTCAAATTATAAAAATGGAAAAAATTCATGTACTACATGGTGTTTTTAATATGAGAAAAATGAATTAAAAGGCAAGGTCCAATTTTGTTGATGTTATAAGTTCAATCGTCGGTCGGAGAAAGTTAAATTTTTTTATTATGAGAGACGTTTGTACAAAAGAAATATCATTTGTGTAACACTGACGGATGAATGAGATAATTACAAACGAAAGTACGTCACAGAAGTTCGACGTGAAAGCAGCACGAAGTTCAACTACTACGATGAATGAATTTCAGATGAAAAACATTTAAAATCATCGCGAGTATGAAAAAATGATCAACACAGGAAAGTTGTGTGCTTATAGCAGCTTTCCACCAGTATATCACTTGCTCAATTCCGGTGAGTGGATGGAGAGCTACGAGCAGTGGATGGAGAGCTACGAGCAAAAAAATCACGTCAAAAACAGAGTGAAGTTCAGGTACACGCGCCGAGAAGTTTAGGTTCTTCACGCGGAGCATTTTCGAAGAATCTGTTTCGCGATAAAGAAAGAACGAATGATCTCGCCATTTTTGAAATTACATGAAAACAGATAGAAATTAGAGAAAACCATCAACAAGAAAAAGTTTCACATTTTCCATAGCTTTTCAGCGGTATATTATTTGCCTCATTCCGATAAAGTTTGTAGAAATTACGGGGAAAATATGTTTTTAGCCATTTTCAAAATTGACTTAAAACCGTAAGGAATTGGGAGAAACAATATATACAAAAAAGTTTCGCATTTGTTCACGCTTTCCAATGCCATATCATTTGCTGCATTCGGACGTATGATTAAAAAATTAGCTCGAAAATACGAACTCGTGGAACTTGTATCGTTTTATAAATTACTTTTAACCCGTTCAAAATTAGAAAAAACTTTTAACATGAAAAAGTAGTGCCTTTTCATAAGCTTTCCAACGCCATATTATTTGCCTCAATTGGATTAGCAGTTTAGAAATGGCATCGAAAATACGAACTCAGGTGTTCCGTTTATGAAATTCTACGATTTTCCAAATTACTCTTTATCCATGGGGAATTAGAGGAAGCTTTCAACATGTGGAAGGAGCGGTTTTGCAGCATCTTTCCAATGCCATATTATTTGCCTCATTCCAATAAACGGTTTAGAAATGCGATCGAAAATACGATTCACGTTTTTTGTATGAGGAAAAAATGGTTTTCAAAACCGCTCTTAAACCGCTTACATTTTGCCAAAAATTTAACTTGGGTCATGATACTGGTGTCCATAGCTTTCCAATGGTATATCGCAAGCCCCATTTGGGCAATGTTGGCGAAAGTTCAACCTAGCACTAGGAGAAGTTCAGGTCGAACAACTCAGGCAGTAAAATTGCAAAAAATGCAATTTCA